TCTTGAAAATATTCAAAAGGGGATAACTCAAGAACCGGTTGACAGATCGTCGTGATTTTTGGTATGTAGGTAGCTTACGTGATGCTTAATATAGTTATGTGACAATTATGCAAATATGGATGTAATTTGCATAATTTATGGGGAAATTCTATAAATCAGCTGCATTCCATGATAGGACAATTGAAGCTTGTGACATTGGTAATTGACAACGAGAGAAACACAGGAAGATGTTGATTATGTTAATAATGACTTAATTTGCATGATTAATGAGAATATTTTATAATTATGTAATGATAACTGCCTGGAATTTCATACTTGTGGTATTTGAAAGTTAAATTGAGGTGAACATCATTAAACATAATTTATTCAAATCAGGACCTCATTTGCATAATTTATTAGGAAATGCTAGAATGCAGTCTTTGTTAATATAAGACTGTCTTTTGGTTGAGATTATGATAAAATGATATAATGAAAATTAGGTTCCTATTTCTTAAATCAGGGGGAATAATCTAATCTAAACTTTGTCAGTCATAAAGATTAACATCATTTGGCGAAGGTATGAGATCGGGGAACTCTAGTTGATTGTTACATACATGTATGTTCAAATTTGGCCCGTATGGTATATATCATAGTCCAGAAACCAACGTTTCAACATATAATGACGACAAAGATACAGTGGGTGTATATATGTGTTGTCAGTGATGTCTAAACCAAAATTTCCATCGCCCCAACCACTGTAAAACAAAGGTGTCCCACAGATATCAACCACAGGAGATTTTTGACAGATGCAAAGCAAGCAAATGCATAATGTTTACCTTCGCATAATCTGCTCTGTTAATTCTCACTCAAACATATTCATATATACATATTTATGGTCAGACAGGAGTCTAAATCCATCTTGCTATAATGTATAGTGATATAATATATGGTGATAGACTGTCTGGCCCAGGTCATTGACCTTTTGTGTTTGGAGAAGAGGAAACTGAGCAAAAACAATGTTTTCCTTCGGTAAACATAAATATCTTAAAATTAACCCCGTTTTGTTGCAGACGTGCGTCGGAACCCATATCTAATCATACATTGACGAATAACGACAAAGATACAGTGGGAATATATACGCATACGTTTGTTTTTCACGGTGCTAAAATATACAACTGGCAAATATCTTAAATTAACCCCATTTGTTGCAGGCGAGCGTCAGCCGGTGAGGCGGACGTGGAGTACGTGAAGCGGCGAGAGTACGAGTTCGAGTTAGCCGACGGCGCACCCGGAGGAGCAAGCCCATCCTTGGACGACGAAGAAGCCGAACGTCAACGTCTCGGGCTCTCTCCGGAAGACTGGGAGCTCCACAAGCGGGCGGCGTCCGCCCCACGGCCGGGGCCTTACAGAGGACGTCCCCGCGGAAGGGCCAGCGTCGACGTCGGGGATCTCTCACGCAAACGCTACCACGCCTCCTCCCACTCTTACGTACCGCGGAAGCAGAAGTCGCGAGGGGCGCACTTAGACGAGTACTATAACCAATCCCTGTGGTACAAGCGGATAAGGCAGTACTACAACGCGCTGTACAGCCCAGGAAAGTACGACCTCGTCTACAAAGTCGGCGACGAGACCCGCTCTCACCTTCACGACGGGTCTTACGACGATTTTTACCTTCACCCCGTCCGGGACCAGGACCTGAGCACATGGTATGACCAGAAGGGGGCTGGCCAGGCCGGCTCCTCAGAGACAAACCCGCTAACAGAGCACTACGCGTCCATGAACCACCACCACGTGGGGCGACGCAGGCCAGCTCGCCAGGCCCAGGCCGACAGGTCCCTAGACCTGACCACCATCAGCGAGGACAAGTGGCGACCACAGGAGGTGTGGCAGTACGAGGTGGAGCTCGCAGACCGCAGACGACAGCGCGACCGCGACCTTGGGGACACAGCCAGCGTCGGCAGCGACTCCAGCGACTACTATGTCATCCCGGAAAAGTTCGTCCCAACATACATGCGCCAACACACCTACGTAGTGTCCGACGTCGGCCCTATAGCTCACGCCGACGTCGCCGGCTCTGCGACAAGAAGAGGCTCTCCCGACGTCGTGACTTCGCGACGTCGCCGGATATCAGAATCGAGCGGGCGTTCGTCCACATCCGGTATGGGCGACGTCACTTCCGTCCCCTCGAGTGTGCGAACGACGCGGTACACGAGTACGAGTGGTGAGGGCGACGTCTCCACGGCAACGGTTTCCATGCCAACCAGGACCGTTAGCCAACCGGTGACGGTTACCAAAAGAACCGTCACCAAGAAGACGTATTCCCTTGCGGACTGAGCGAACGGTTTCTGTCTGGCATTTCAACTTATTCAAGCTCGCTGCTATACAGCTACTGTCTTTTCCGCTTTCTTGCCTTTATAAAAGCTATATAACTATATCTTATCAAGTTTTCAAAATGTAAATTTCTTAAAACTGTCTCCCTATATCTTAAGTAGTTTCCTCGTATCTCCAAATAAGCGAATCCTCTTGAGAGGGTAGTATCTTACTCAACCGCGCGCAGCAAGTAGGAGAGTTTGTAACTTAAGACCAGAGTTGAAGAAAAAAAAGCGAAGGACGCGACATTGCCGCTAGACTGCGTAGTTTATTTATAAGTCCGCCGGATTGAAGTTTTAAGCCCGCCAGATGTCCTGCCAAGCTCCCACAGTTTATACTAACGTAGCAACAGCCCAGGGCCAAGAATCCGCATAGCTCAAATTGTCGACAGTCGGTTATTATGGAAATTCTCCTGAGGCCTTGGGCCCGCCCACTGCACACTATGACGCGGCGTTACGCTCCCGTTTAGGTAGGGACAGCGACATCGGGATAAGTTTGGCGGCCAACCGGGGGCCTACAGCACCAACCTACGAAATACTTGCCATGATAATTGCGAGGAGGACCTGTGTCGGAATTCGCAGCAAGGCTAGATGTAGGATACAGTCTTACCCAAAATAGGTCCTGTGTAGATGTAGGCGATACGTGGTGGCATTCTTCTGACGATTTTCGGGCCGCTCCTTCGTTCCCTTTCCTTGCGATCTTCCTCGTGTTAAGGTAAGGTTACGTCTCTTTTCTTGGAGATTTTTTTCTACGAGCGGTTCTAGCTGTCCCGGGTTTTCCTTTCCGCTGTCTCTCAAGGATTTACCGTCCGCTGCTGTTTCCGACTACCTCCTTGGACTGTACGGGGAGAGAGAGACTTGGAGATTTCGTGAGTGAAAGTCGTGTGGCAGTGGTGTAGCTTTTATGAGCAGTCTTGCTGGTTCGATGTAGCATCTACGGTTAGTCTCAACAGTGTGGGGAACTGTCTCTGTGGAACTGAGTTACCGCCAAAATACGGGAAGTGAAGCAGGAAGGGTTTGAGATAAATAAAAGTTGTCAGCCGAGGAGACTCAGGAATCCGCGCGTCCACTTGTGGTAAGGCGTGATAAGGACCAGACTTCAGCCGGAGCGCCACGCCAGTAGCTTTACGACTTTCTGGGAATAACTTTTAAACGCTCGCTTATCACCGGTTTGGTTACGTCCTGGTTTACAAGACGCAGAATTTACAAAATTATGAGGAATGATTCGGCGAGGAGTTGATTTAATTTAAGACGGGGTTTGGGAGAGAGTAATGTCGGTCATATAGAAAAGATGGCAAACATATCTTGTTACAGAACAACGACAACATGTTTGTCTTACACAGCTAACCAGCGAGCGTCAGAGCGTGATAACATTTACTCAGCACCACTTTTATTCGGCTCTTCGTTTGAAGACCGGGTGGTTGGGAGGGATGACAGTAAAGTGCGAAGTGACCCGCCCCCCTCCCCCTTTAAGTGGCGCAGTATCTTAGACTGGTGAAACAAAAATGGCGGGTACACAGCAAGTTCAACACACTTGCCCTAGCCCCAGTACAGTCATGTCTCCTCTTAGATTGATACAACAAGAACGTAGCCCAATTCCACAGAGACAGGGACCGTCATTAGCTATTTAAAGTTGACAAACAAGTCTAAAAGCATGTATTTAGCTCAAGCGTTAAATTTGTGTTATCGTATCGTGGAAGTAGGTTAAAATTGTTGTGAAATTTCCTCCTGGTCATTCAAACCATTCGTCGTGTTTTTGGTAGGCTACAAAACAAACAAAACAAATCAGTACAAGAAAGCAGAGTTTTCGATTCGATTTACGAATGCCACATTGCTTTTGATTGCAAGATTTTGAATTTGAATGGCTCTAACTTCGAAACAATTAAGTTTTCCATGATTCAGTAACATTGCACTATACTAGTTTTGGCCAAGGAAAACCTAATAGCTAGCCACATGAGATTTCAAACATCTTAACTGTGACAAAAGCTGCAACATTTGATTGGTTTCCATCTAAAACGTGTGATTGTATAAGCAACGTTTCAAAGCCTCTGTCAAACTGAAACATAGACCAGTCGCCTTCTCGGTCATGACGTCACCGTACGTGACCCACAACCGTCAGAACTGTGACAGTTCGGTCAACTGTTCGATCAAGATAAACTGTGAAGTTATCTCTTAAGGAGGGATAAACACTCGATAGCGTCGAGAGATGGGTCATTGGGTGCTCGATTCTGATACAATCATGATGGTGTTTTCCTAAATTGACGTACAGATTTGGTCTCTGAAAAGTTTTAACTCTTCTGTAAAGCCTCAAGAGATGTTGTTCTCCTGACCTGGCGGACAAATTAAGCTCTAACTCTTCTGTAAAACGTTAAGGGGTGATTTTGACAAAATGATATTGTTCTCCTAACTTGACGTAAAGATCAAGTCTCTAAAAAGTTTTAAATCTTTTGTAGAAAGTTAGGGGATACAAACACAGGCAAGAAAGCTGAATAGCATGGACTATTTTACAAGCCAAATTATTGTGTAATAAATTTTTGTACAAAAACTTTTTATTCCGAAAGGGAATCGTCAGTCGAGGGCTCGGAGCTCCCGCTCCCGTTCCCAGAGTTTCGACGACAGCTGCGACTCTCTGTCCCAGAGTTCCGACTCCAGGCGGAGTCGCAGCGACAGCCTCGGCAGCATGGACTCCAGCTCGACATTCGCCACCGTCGATTCGGCAGCCTCCACCGACGCGCCAACAACACGGGTGATGGCGGCAGACTCCTACGCCGAGGGCACCGAACAAGCCGACTTGCACACACCCTTACTCCCCCCGCACAAGGACAAGTTTTGGCACAGTCCGTACGGCATCAAATACCAGCACCACTACGTGCGGTACCTAGGTTCCAGCTCGCTCCACACCGATAGTTCCCGCGCAAGAAGCGTTTCACCGACAGCCAGGAGTGCGTCTCCCCTTACCAGGAGCCCCTCCCTTGGCCGAAGCCGTTCCCCCTTACCCCGCAGCCTGTCCCCCTTTCCCCGGAGCTCCTCTCTCACGCGAAGCCTGACTCCCTTAGGAGCACGCCGAGGGCGAAGCTACGACGATCTGGACGCCTTGTATCTCCCAAAACGTACCACGTATCTCGACGTACCGTCGGCGTCTTCTCTGAAGTTCAAGAAGCCGTTGACGGGAAGTTATGACGACTTGTCGTTCATCTATCCGGACCTGTACGGAACGACGTCGACCCCGAGGTGGGAGACCGTCGAGGTCACCCGAAGGTCACGGTCCAAAAAACGCCGCCCGCGCAAGCGCAGAGGCGTGGACAGCCCGACCACGACCCCGCCCCTCAGCGATGACGAAATGGAGACGGTGCGCACCAAGTCGAGGCGGCTGATCAAGCAAGCCGAGGCCGAGCTGGAAAAGGAAAACATTCACGGGAGGGTCCCAAAATTACCTGAGCGGCGCCACCGGACCACCTCCGCCGCAGGCACTTACCGGCGGTACTGGACGGATACGGAGGGAGGATACAGCACCGCGTATACAGATATAGACGATACGGCGTCGCTACCTGACAGGTGGGGTGATATGGAGGTGGATAAGGACGGGGTGCCGGACCTGAGCCCGGTTCGGCGCACGGACGCGGGTACGTGGTGGACGTGGTGGAACCCCAACACCGGCGACTTCGAGCACCACTTCATGCCGAAACGCCGCGACGTCAAGGTGCCGTCCTTACCTGCCGAGTACGTCAAGGTGCGGCGACGCAAGATCTCACCTGTGCGCGTGAGCTACCAGCGCTCCACCCCGCCGGAAGATATCACAAATCTCAGCTTCACCACGCGTTCTGTCTCACCGCTAGAGTCCCCTCAGCGTCGCAGAAGGAGGCCGCTACACCAACCTGTGCCCGACTCGGACGACTTCACGCTAGCGAAGAACAAGTACTACTTCACAGGCGCCAAGAAGATCAAGTACTCGTACGACGAGCCTGAAGACAGGCTGCACATTTACGAGTACGACACCTCCGGTACACGTAGACACCCCTCTCCCTCACCACATCACCTGCACAAGACGCCCAAGGTCTCTCCTTACGAGGAAATACACCTGAAGAAACGTCGGACGAAGTTCTACACAGGTGACTACGACACAACCTCCGATATAGACCTGTACTCTACCCACAGACGGAGGGTCTATTCCTCAGATTTCGACATAAAGAAGCGGCCGCGTTATGAAGACTACGACATCACAGCCAAGTACAAGCTGCGAACGGACAAGTTTGCGTCCGACATGGACATCGCAGACATCTACAAGCCTCGGCCGAGGAGGAGCAGCTTCGATACAAGTCCTAGTCCGCGCAGAGGTAGCCACGAGTTCGACACCACGTCCTTTACACGTACATCACGAGTTGATACTAGCAGTCTCCACGTCCCGTCCTACCGGCCTAGAGCGTACCATGGCTCCATGTTGGACCTGTCTCCTCCTAGATACACCCCCTCAACGTCCCGCACAGACATCAAGAGAGACTACAGCGGCACTAGAAGCCCGCGTGCCACCTCCCCTACCTACACAACCCGGCATTACGACACCGCTTTGCACCGCACGCACCCTATCACAACCCCCACACGCTACCAGTACGAAATGCCGCAGGGCTACAAGACTATGGACGACATCGTGCTGCCGATCCTACAGCCTGAAACCGCTCGTAGAGAGCGCCGCGCTTCAGACACAGACTTCCACGCCACCAAGAGAGAAATCATCAAGCACCCTCCCACCTTCAACATGGAGCTCAAATCCCGCACCGCGACAGTCAACCAGGACATGAAGCTCACCTGTTCCGTATCCGGAAGGCCGGATCCGGAAATCCGGTGGTACAAGGACGGAGAGGAGATCCACGACTCCGAGAGGTACTGGATCAAGGAGAACTACGGAGTGTGCCAGCTGGAGATATTCCGGATTACTCCGGAGGATGCCGGAGAGTACAGGTGTGAGGCGAGAAACGACGCCGGCCATGCACGCTCCTTCTGTCGGCTTAACGTTACAGGTGAGTACACAGGTGTTTTTGTGCTTCTTACTAGTGAGTCCCGTTTTATTATATGAAAGTTCATCTATGTTAGTAGTAACCATAGTAAAATGTAAAAGCTCCTTCTGTCTGCTTAATGTTACAGGTGAGTACACAGGTGTTTTTGTGCTTCTTACTAGTGAGTCCCGTTTTATTATATGAAAGTTCATCTGCGTTAGTAGTAACCATACTAAAATGTAAAATCTCCTTCTGCAGGCTTAACGTTACAGGTGAGTACACAGGTGTTTTTGTGCAATTTTTTTTACTTCTTGCTAGGACTCGACTTCTGGTTTGGTTGAGCATGTCTGTATTCATGAAATACACATCCACATTCATGATTCTGTTCACCGCTTTTTATTGAGATCATGAGAGAAGAGGTAAGATACACGATTAGCGCCCCAAAACAAATTCACCCGTGACCACCTGTCCACATATACCATATTTTGTCAGTCCCTTAGGTGGTCTTCTTAGCTAACTTAAGATTAGCTAAGCTCATCTTCAATTAGATACGGGACAAGGTCCTGACTTGTACCTGAACTTGGCCTAAATCCCTACCGGTATCTTTACCTGTACAAGAGACACTGTAGAAACCGTAACAGATCCATACACACATACGCCATTCTTTCTGATCCTTCTCTAAAACCATTACAACACGCTGTCGTCACCCAACACGTTATGTGT